AGCAGCAGCAGCAGTAGTAGTAGTAGCAGCAGCTCTTCACAAAAGGCGGACATGAGGTTTGGGCGGGGGAGACTAGCACTTCAGGCTTCTTGTGCACAAGCCTCCCACCTGGCTAGACTTTCTCGACCCTGGCCTATGGTGTCCCGGGACCCGAGTGCAGATTGTTGAATGCGTAGGAGAAGATCTTCCATCATGTGAGATTCATGAATGGTTAGTGGCGACGGTTTGTTCTGGTCTTGGAAACAAAAGGGAAGAATCACACCAGCAGCACTACTATTGCAAGTGCAAGTGGCAGTGTCCTGCTGCAGAACATGTAGCATTAGCAAGCAAGTTCAGGACCTGACCTGGCATTTGGCAATCTTAGCATTCTTGCCATCTGTCTGTGTGGCTTCCCTGTGGTGGGTTCATAAAACACAGAACGAGTCTCTCCTGATTCACTTGGCCTTGGCCCCGGCTTCCAGCATCGTCAGCAGTGGGTGCTGTGGCCAGCTTGGCGCTCCCTCCCAGCCAGGGGGGGACCAAAGGCATGGCGGCTTTTGTGCTCAGGCTTGGGGTCGCACGGCCTTTTGAGATCGTTCGGATTGTGGGCTACGACACTACCTTCTCAAAGGCCTTGCGGTCCTTGACAAACAAGACTTGGGAGCATGTCTAAGACCAATGTCATGACAAGCCCACGGAAAGAGTTCCTTCTTTACTTCTGTGGCAGAGGCACCACTACCGATTCTACAGGATCCGTGATGCGCCCGGCAGCATTGTGCAGGGAGCGCCTGCAGGAATCACACCAATCAACAAAAGCAACGCGGTCGCTAGATTTGTACCCGGGTTGCCGGTCATGGCATATGTAGGTGACGACCTGCCGCCTCCCGCCCTATCCAACTTCTTGGATTCTTGGCTGCCTCTGAACCCCAGTGGCGTCTTCATAAGCAACAGCGTAGACGCCTCCCGAGCAGTAAACTTGGTGCCTCTTTGGAAGTCCAGGCCCCCGTTTCCAGAGAAGATGTGGGGCAAACCTCGAAGTGTGCACCTGCGAAGAACGGGCTTGCAAAACGGCTGCGGCTTTAAGGGCGGAACGAATGGCTCCCGTTCTCGGGATGCAGCTTTCCGACACGAGGTCTGCAAGGGACTGCGGCATCACGAATCGATCTAGAAAACACGATCTCGCAAAATAGAGTTGCCCTGCCATCACGATTTCCAAGCACAGAAAGCCCGGAATGATTCTTGGCATCCTTTTTCCGGCAGGCCGCATCCAGTCAATTTTGTTCAATGGAGTGGGCGCTGGAACTTGCATGGCGGCTTGGCTCGGGCCCGATGCTGCAATAGACTACTTCAGGAGACCCACGCCTAAGCTCAAGATTGTTTGGCTTATGGGCCCAAACAGAGCTTGTAGGGTTTCGGCGTGGAGGTTAGGGCTTACAAAAACAGTTTGGGGCCTGCTGGCCCCGGGGCATCTCCAGAATCGGAGATAGGAAGAGCTACCTGCGGACTGTATGAGGTTCACTCAAGCGATCACGACAGCGACATGTGGAGATTATGGAGTGCAGGAGCATAGGAGAGAGGAGGTGAGCGAGACGGCGGAAAAACCGGAGCAGCAGCGGAACAGCAAAACATCAACGCACGCAAACAGATCTACTTTCAGTCTGTGCAGAAACCCTGTAGAAGTTTCGGGAGACGGGGGGGGCTTGCATGACAACTGCCTGCACCACTGCTGGGCCGCCATGCACTTTCCAATAAAGGTACAAAGCTCCCGATGTCGAGCTCTCGGCACTGCACTACTGCGGCTTGACCGGCGACTCCGGAAGCAAGGAGTCCAGAAACTCAGTATCCAAGTCTGCGTAGTCATCGGCATCAAAGTCACCGCTGTCTTCAGGGTCCAGGTCATCCTGCGAACTTCTGGCTTGGTGTCCTCCTACTTCTATGCGCTTATATGTCATTCGGCTCCTAGTATGCTACATGATGCCGGAGAGAGCGGCTGCAAGTAGAAACACACTGGAGACTCCAGGGCTCTAAACGATCTTCTTCTTCTTCTTCTTGCATCTGGGCTCCATGCCCTAGAAGGAGTCTCAAGCTTATAAATGCTATCGAAACGCCACAGGGTTTTCTGCTCTTGACGATTCTGATCCACTGACTATGCTGTCGAGACACCGGCTCTGGAGACCCATGGGCATCGTCAAGGTACTCGTCGGCGATCTTGTCGATCCAACTGAGATCCTGTCTGCTCCCGGCTTTGACGGATGAGTGTTGCAGGTTTCGGCACCCTGTGGAGACTTTCCGTGCTTATGCACTCTTCGCAGATGATGCGCCCCGACGACACTCCTGCTCCGCTCCAAAGCCTAACTACTTCATTCCGGCACTCGTCCTGACTACGGTACGATAATTAACACAAGCGAACGTGTCGTTTGCAGTACGACGGTCATCCGGAAGCCTCCTCAGTTGCTGGCCGATGGCCCTCCTTTCGGGCCCGGGTGCTTGGGCTGAGGGCTCGGGGCGCAGTTTGGGATCAGGGTTCGACTGCGGAGGATCTCCTTGTTGCTTCTTCTTATCGGGATGCTGACGGGCATCCAGGCAGACATCTTTCCCGAAAGCACATCAGCCCACCCGGATGCCTGCCAACGTCTTAAAGCCAGTATCAACAGGGTCGCTGATTCTCGCGCCTGAAACGGCCACCGTGCATCACTACCACAAATAATGGCCAGAGCCCCAGCCCGGTCCCAGTCACGTTCGTGTGCCGAGACTTAGCTATCGTTATATCTTTGATCCGAGCTTATGTGGCAGTCGCCGTCTGTTGACCTTGCAGCATCACCGGGTGTAGAGTTTCACGTACCTCTCGGTTGGGGCCTCGGCTAACCAATTTCTGGCAACAGCTCTCTTTATGTGCAGGACGGCATTGAGCTTCATGCTCTGCCTGATTCCTCGAAATGTTTCAAAACAGAAAAACCAACTCTGCAAAACCGACTCTGAACACTTGATCCAGTCTAGACTTGGATTATTCTTGCTCTCTCTCTCTCTCTCCCTCTCTGCCTGAGTGCGAAGCATTTCTTGGACCTTCACAACCCCTACAGTTCAATCTCGCAAGCTGAAGACCCGGCCTAATCAGATCTTAGCTTTCTAAACTATGAACCCGAAACCTAGAACCCGAATTGAACTGTAGCCGGTGTTCTACTGAGGGGATTTAATGGTTAGAATGGTGGTACTATCAGTTTCAGTAGCTACCAGGGACACCATTTCTAACAAAAAAACACACACATACATACACACACACACATATACACAAAAACAAATCGAATGAAACCCAAGAGCTCCCTCATCAAACCCTATAACGCCCTCATGAAGAAGGTCCTTGTCTAGACCCTGTAAACCTTTGTAGAGACCCTTCCTGAAAACACAACTTATACATGACCCCTGTATTACTTGCGCTGCATTAATTGGCTGAAACCCTAAGCCCCTAAATCCTGAAGCCCTGAAGCCCTAAACCCTTAAACGCCTAAACCCCTCAACCCTGTCCGTCGGCTCAGGTGGCTTGAACAAGGACCTGTCAAAGTCGTCGGCCTCCCCACATGTTTCTTTGTCTCTTGAAACTGTCCCCGGGAAGGCTCTGGGATTTAGAGGTTTAGGGCTTAGGGTTAGGGTTTCGCAAAGTTTCGGGTTTGGGCGTTAGAGGTTTAGGTCCTGGGAGTTTGCCAGCTTTGCAAGCAGGCAGTCGTCTGAGGCGCTTGATGAAGTCTGAGGGCATCGACCCAGGCTCTGATGGCCCAAGTCACGCCCACATTTACGCATCCAAGCATACGCAACGACGACATGGAACTGACAGACACCCACAAGAAACACACGAGCCACTGAAAAGGCAGCAGCTGACAGCAGCAAAAATGTACCCTACGAGTCCATCCAAAGTTGACCAACTGCTGGTATAGGAAATCCAAGACGTCGCCGGCTGTGCATGCCAGTGCTTCGAAACCCCAACTCTATAGCGCTTTCGGTTTCGGGCCGCACCAAGTGAGGATATCAAGCTCGTTTGGAGATAAGCAAAAGGTTCCGGATTCAGAAAGTCACAGTGGGTAAACAGGTAAACCATCGCAGCTGAAGCTTGCATAAAATCGTGACTCTAGACATCTTCCCAAACTGGGATCCAGAGTTTGCGACTGGAATCCAAGCGGTCATGGCCAACGTACCTGTCACGACCATCACCAACGCCATCATCAAACTGGCCCTCTTCAAGTTCACCGTCGCCAGCAACCTACAATATTGTTAGTGTTGCCATTGTTGTCATGACATAAATTGCACCGCCACCGCCCACTATCATCAGCCGGAACAGCGGCTACACCGCCACCACCGGCAGCGACATTAACAGCAAGTAGTCTCAGGAAAGCCGCAAGAGGCGTCAAGCTTATACACTGATACCACACTCATGCCATCAAAAAAGACTCAACTTACAACGTGATGGTGGCTTACAAATGCTGGGACGTAGATATATATAGTAACATAACAATAAGTACAGTATATAGCCGCTAACATAGCCGAACCAAGTGCGATAGCAGATGTACGGGTAAATGAAAATCCCATTGCTTCGTGAGCCCAAAGATCAATGCGCAGTGGAACAGTTGACGCCTTGCAACAAGCAAGGTGACACATTAAAACAACTGCACCACTTTTGACAACCTGCCTGGGTGTTCCCCCACATCGCGTCTGGCCGGTTTGCTTCCACGAAGTCATTCCATTCCAAGGGCTCGTCGTCCTTGAATGTCAGAGCAGTTTTCGAATACCCAGGCAACAGGAGAGCGAGAGTGGTTGGATCAGCTGTGCTTCTGGAGACATTATGAGAATTGATCCGCTTCGTTCGGGGCGGAGGGGTGCCTGACTGATTTTTTTGATTAGTCAGCAGCAGCTGTGAACTTGCAGGGTAGGCAACACGGCGATGAACATGGGTGCATTTAGGGTTGTTTAGAAGCTTTTCGCAAAAATTCTGCTTCCTTCAGCCATGCAGCACGCTCATTGTTCGACCAAAGTGTGATCTTCAGGTCCATCGACTTGCTCTCCCGGAAAAGGTCCGGCGTGTTGCACCTCGCCGTTGCATGCAGCACAGGATCTGTCTCGAAGCCAACTCTTGCAAGCCTAGGCTCCGGTGGAATACTTTAGCGCTCTCTGGGTGTGGAAAAGCGGAGGTACTACACTGACCAAATAAAGGAGAGAGGAGCCCAGAGACCTCCGGCTTTGGGCCTTCACCCAGACCTCCACACAAGTTTGCATGCAACTTGACACAGCATAATATGATGTAACAAGTATATAATCATATTAGGATATCATGAACCCGAGCAAACGCAGAGCATCCGCGGCCTCGCGGGAAAGCCCACGAGGGCCCTGCCGAAGCTTCGGTGCGGTCTGATCTCCAAACGGGTGCCGCAGCCGCCCAATGCAGGCCGAGTGATGACCTGCCAGGGCTTCGGGCTTCTAGGGTTTAGGGAATAGGGTTTAGTTCAGAACTCTATAAACCCTACACTCCAAGGATGAGACGAACTAGTGCAACACTCGCTGCGACAAGCACCGGCAAGTCGAGTGGTTTCAGAGGACACGAACGGACTTGATCGAAAGGCGGGTGACAACAGCCCAGCAGCCTGTAGAAAGAGTGTCTGTATAATCACGAACATAATGGTATAATAGCATTAGGAAAAAACTCCTATACATATGTTTAATGTATTTGGGTTACCGATAATATTAAGCTACAAAACAAAGCATACGTAGAAGCCACCGTCAGCGATGATGGAGCCCCGAATTCTCCATCTACTCGCCCCCCAAAACCTGCCTAAACCCTAAACCGTGTTTGTCCTAAGCCCAATCCCTGCTCACTGGTCGGAAGACAGTGGAAGACAGACCTGGATGTCAGCATCCTTCAGCACCGCGGCACGCGGTCGATAGACCTACGGTAACTCGGAATTTCAAAAGGAAGGGTTCACGGCCATGGCGGCATGAAGTGACGTGAGGGTCTCATGAAAGTTGAGCACTACGGCTCCACTCTTCGAAAAAAACTACTTCTGAACCCCCCTTCACAACAGATGGGCGAGCTGCATGACATGTTACATTAGATCCTTGGAGTCCTGGCGACGAGTTCGGGTGGATAGTGTAAGTCCTCAGACCTGGAACCCATACAACTGGGCATGGAATTGATGCGCAAACGGCCGTGCATGGTAGTAGCTTCGGCGCCACTTGCATTGCTGGCACGACGTGAACATCTTCTTGGGAGGGACTACTTCAACTCTTCCTGCCAGCTGTAAGCTGCATGCAAACCTCATGAGGTGCGTGCTGAAATGCGCAGGCAACCAAGGAAGAGCCAGTTAGTTCAAAGAGAGAGGAAGCAGTTCTTCTCACAAAATGCTACGATTCCCCGGGCCTGACTTGGTGCGCAACGGCTTCAGCAACAGTGAGGAAAGGGGTCACGCAGTCAGCGCACTGCTTAGGAGCGTTACGGTTCTGTCTAAAGCTTTATGAAATACATGAGAAGAGGGGGCATCTCCGGGTGCAGCACAACTCCCGTGAAACAATATCCGGATCCCGCAAATCGCAGATGGAAGGCCCTGTCCAGGACGACCTGAAGCAAAAGGGAAGTCAGATCCATGGGTTTGTTCAGCTGTTTTTGTTTGCCGCCTCTTGCGGCAATGCAATATGTTGCACGTAGTTTCTTCCATGCTGTAGCTGCAGGTGTGGGCTTGTGAACCAAACTTGAATGTCTTTGTAAACGAACCTGTCAAATGCACATGCCGAACCAGAATTTGGTGGCAAATCCCCCTGGTTCTGCATTCTCACTTGTGCCCGCAGCCTCCTTGACGCGAAGGATGGGTCTCCAGTACTTGAACTTCTCGTCGTCGTGGGGCCACAGGGCCTGACAGGGCATCCGGGTGCGGCATGACTTCTGCCATCCCAGTGCGATTGCTGTTGGCGCCCCAGGCTGGCGGATTCCAGGGACCCGGGGCCTCCCGGGCCGGTCCGACGGGGGCGACTTGGCCAATCACCCGAAAACGCGGTGCATTGGGCAGATTTGCGGCTTCAAGGGAGTCTGGGTGGGGCCGCTGCTATGTTGCATCTTGAACTTCGGCTGCAGTTTGCTGTTGAAGTGCAACAAGTACGTGGAGGTTTAGGAAGCGCCGAACAAGACAACATCTTGTGCACTCCTTTTGTTACAACACGGGCTCCATCTTGACGAGCTATGGGCGTGGCCTCGTGGTTCATGGCCCACTGCCAGATTCTACCAGGTTTAGAGCTTACCCATAGGCTCCTAAGTAGTTCCTTTTGGTGGTTTATATTTAGAATCCTATAAGGTAATCCCAAAAAGGAACTACTAAGGAGTCTATGGGTATAGTGTTGGGTGATGCAAACTACAACAAAGGTCGAGGAAGTGTTCGATTCGAAGGAGACTCTACCTCAGAGAGTATGCAAACACGAGAGCAGTGCAGATCCTGAAGCTTCCACAGAGATATCAGATCCCTGCCTTTAAGCTTCGAGATGTCTATCGTTTCACACGGTTCGTGTTCTAGGTCTCGGGGTTTATGACCGCAATTTTCGTGCCTGGCAGCTGGCCGATGCAGATGCCTGCAGGGAACTCATACATCTCGACAGATGCGCAAGGACAACAACCTCTCACTTTGACCCACGACTCTCTCAAAGCCAGACATGTGCAAACGTATAATAAGACATGAGTTTAGTCATGCCAGCATAGATCCCCAACATGGAAAGGAGACATCGCAGTCCAAGCCTTGCACCCAAGAACCACTTCCGGAGCACCCGTGACCAAAACTCAGGAGCACGAGCATCTGCCCCGAGAGCACGCACGGCACTGTGGCGGGAGCACGAGGCGCGCCAAAGAGGAGGAACCAAACGGGGGGACGGGTCCTAACCGGTCCGAAGCCAAAGTATGCGCGGCACTGTGGAGGGACTCCGATTTCGACTCCGCCAAGATATGCGAAGATCATGCAGACGAGAAACCAAGAGCTCCAGCGCTAACAGCCATGGGCCAATTGGCCAATGGGGGCCATAACACTAGTAACGGCCCACCAAGTTCTCAATTCATTGAACACAAGCAGAAGCTGAAGCTGAACCCCCAAAGGCAGCCTCGAGCTTTCCACAGGCATCGTAGCACATACAGCGGCAGCTGTGCTTCTTCAGGAGGTGCTGCAAGAGAACGAGCCTTCGCTTGGACCTCAGCTTTCCGGGACGCTGGTCCCAGAATGAGCATGCAGGCGAGATAAGCAGCGAGCAAGTACGTTTCTGGCGCTTCACAAGCATGCACACATTCGACATTGGTGGTCAAATGCTCGCACGGATCAAATCGCTGGTGCATGTCTATGTATAGGTCGGGACACAAGAAGTGGACAGTAAGGCCAGACGGGTCTTGAGACGTTGCCAAGTTTTGAAGGTGACTCACCAGTGTGCGCGTTTAACAGTAGTGGTGAATGGGTGAAACCTGCGGGGCGTCGGGCGCACCCCAGGCAACATGACAACCATCGGGAGCGTAGTCACAATTATCATCATTATCGTCACCATCAGCGATATCACGAGCATACTCATTATTAACACCCGCGTCATCAGCAACATGGACCATGCCGCCGCCGCCACCACCATCGCGGCGAAACGAGTCTGGCCTTTGTAAACGAGTCTGGCATTTATGCTGTCATACTAGTCGGGTCCACGCGGCACCGTGCATCTCTGCACGAATCCAGGAGCGTGGTTGTTTTCAGACACCGCGTGACATCATACCGTACCATTGCACGACAAAGGGGCTGGCCCGGGCGTAACTTGATGTGCAAGACCATCCAGTTCTTCCTCGGGCTCCGGGATGGCTGTACTTCGAGGAGTCTAGGGACATAAATCTGGGACTTCTTTTTGGTAGCGTTCTCCATGAAGTTTTATGTTGTCCTGCCGGCTGGGTTCAGCACTTCTTCTGTTCACTATGTAGGTGGGAAATGAAAGCAGCATGATCCCCTCCAGAAACTCAAGCCCAGGCAAGGAGTGGACCCAAAGACTAGGAAAGCATTAAGATGTTTAATGTTTAAGGTTTATATAGTGGCAACAGCCGACATGCTGAACTCAATTGGGCAGCGCGCACTGTTATTCAGGATCGCACAAATCTTTTGATTTCAAGTCTGCGACAAAGTTTCCAGAGAGCTTTCACCACGTTGTCTGTGTCCAAGCTGTGCACGACCAATGCCACCTGGCTGGCTTTTGGAATTAAGAGAGGGCTTGCTCTGATTGCCTGGCAAAGCTGTGGCCACGTTCCCAGAGGAAAAGGCAAGAACAGCACACCTCATCTCGAACACCCAGTCGTCGAAGATGCGTTTCCTTGAGGCCACCTCGAGCGGGCAGAGGGGGCATGTATGCCGTGACTATCGACCACCTTGACACTGCCGTATGCAGCTATATATGTGGAAGCTTCGGATAAGTAAGCCAGCACCATTACCACTGGCATCATACGTCTCCCGCACTGCACTTTGATTGCTGTACTAAGCTGCCTTCGTTGTGTTCTTCTTCCTGACTCATTTTCGACACCATCACAACATATCAAAGCTGATAGCATTGCGATGCTTGCTCTTTGTCGGTGCTGTGCTGCCGGACACCACATCGAGAGCCATGTAGATGTAGGCGATTCGGAAGATGGAAATGAGATCAGTGTGGTGGCAGTAGCAGCCACAGCACATGTATTTTGGTTCCCACTTGGCAACGTCCCTAGGTATGTATGTATGTATGTATGTATGTACGTATGTACGTACGGGTTACGCTCTCAGAACTCAGACATGTGCGAGTGAAGCTCCCCTATTCCGAGAACAGTAGGGTTTAGGGATTCCTAGAAGAAGAATCGAATGAATTCGACCACCGACATGGCTCGATGCACCGATAATCGGTAATTATCCGATACTCCAACTTCATCACAAACCACACGAGAAACCAAGCAAACCCACATCGAAATACTTCTTGGATGCAGCGTTGAGGTTTCGCATATCATATAAACCAAACACAAGAGTCGCTGGAATAGTCTTCACGGATTTCTTGCCAGATCACCCAAGGCCCCCGGGGAGCATAACTTCGTCTCGAAGATGCTTTGCCTTTTGCGGCAGTGCCGCGGAGGCCACGGTCTTTAAGGCTTCAGCGTCCAACTTCAACCTACCCTGGGAGTCGAAGATAACTGTCTCTACATGTTTCACCCGCATCCCGGGAAGCCAAAAGCCTGTGAAAAATTCGGCGAGCTCGCGTTCTGAATGGATCACATGAAAGAGAAAGGCGATGCAAGAACCATTCCTGATGGCTCGAGATCTAGCTAAGCAGTTGTTTAGCGATGAACTCAACGCAGCCCTGAACACGTGAGTTCTTCCCAACCAGGGTCTCCCTTAAAGTGCGGGGCACAAAAGCGCACTGCCACGAAACCCCCTCAACCTGCATAAACTCCGAAATGTTGCCTGCACACCGTGCGACGGAGCTTGCCATGAAAGTTTTGGAGACTTTGATGTCCGCAGTTGGCACGTTTAGTCTAAACTGTCTGGCCAACGCCCTGCCATCACATCGCTGCTCCCAAATCGTCTGCTTGTCAGAAACAACGGTGAAGATTTTTGACGCTGCTGATGCTGATTTCGGTTGCTGGAGTTGCCCCTCACCAGTGTGCCAGCTACCGCTCCTGATGAATGGCGATGCCATTGGCATTCTCATTGCCCCATGCAATCACCACTGGTACAAAAGCCATGCTACCACTCCAGACCATTTCGAAGTATGTATGTGGTTTATAGCGACAATCATGCAATGATTGTGTGAGCGATTGCAGCTGTCAGAGTAAAATAGGGACTGTAACAATCAAAATAAGATCCACATTGGCATAGCTTCAAAGGGACTATAAGGGAATACTAACAACTCTACAACAGTGATTACACTGTTCCCGTGT